TGAAGGTGAGGCCTGCAGCCTGCTCTATTTTAGGCAGCCCCAGGCAGGTGGGTTGTAGGCGCGCACACTGCGGGGTGCAGGGGGCGAGTGTGCAACTGGCCATAGGGCGCCCGCTTGACTGACAGTTGCCAGGCAGGAATTATGCCAGTGGGGTTCTGCACATCTGAGCCTGCAGTGGGCGGCTTCTGCCCTCAATGCAAGGGGGAGCCCGTCTTTCCCCTTCCTTGTTCATCTGCAGAGCAGACGCCCTTGGGGAGCAGTGGCCAGGCCTCAGCCTGTCGAAAAGCAGCAGACAGCACTGACTTTTGGGGCCTGAAAGCTCTTTGGGGGAATCTCAGGCCGTTCAGTCTCCCGCCGTGTGGAATTCCAAGTGGGACCCCACCCTCCCCTCCTCACTGCCGGCCTGTGCTGGGCCAGGGCCAGGTGTGCAGAGGGCGTCCTGTGCTGGCAGAAGGCGCTGAGGGCAGCAGGCCTCTGGGGTGGAGAACTCACAAAGAAACATGGCAGCATGTCTCTGCCCTCACCGTGCTGGCATCTAGCGCAGGGGCACAGGCGTCCCTTGGGAACGGCAGCTGCACTGAGCCGTTGCTCTCTCCTTCCCTCCCTTCCAGGCTGCTGTCTATCAACCTGAGCAAGTGCAAATACGAGAGCGGTGAGTGGAAGGCAAGCCAGGGCTCCTCTCAGCCCCACCTCCCTCTGGCAAGTGCTGCGGACCCCCGCCCACCCAGGCACGCTGTTAGCACTGGCTGCCGTGGCTGACTGGCCCATAGCACATTCCCCCTGCGCATCCCACCCGCACTGGCCGAGCCAGCAGTTCAGTCCCCAGATGGACGCAGGGCGCAGGGCTCAGGGCTCAGGGCGTGCCTGCTGGGAGGCAGATGTTGGCACGCTTGCCTTGAGAGCTGCACGGCTGGGGCTGACGGGGATTGGCCCTGGGCCTGGCCTGGGCCGGAGAGTCCCCCCCCCTGCCTGTGCCTCTCGCAGTGAGTGCTGGGCAGGAGGGCCGGGGTCTCTCCTGGCGCCTCGCCGTGGGGCGGGAGAACACAAACGGCAGCATCTCTCTCCCGGTGGGACTGTTAATGCCCCTGATCCACCAGGCCCACACTGACGGTCACAGTCTTGTGCTGTGGGGAGAACACGGTTTCTCGCTCTGCTGGTCCTGGCTGCCTCCTCTCGGGAGGGGCCAGATACTATGATGATCAGCACCTAAGAAGCGGGGGCAGTGGCCGTGGGGCCAGAAATCACTTCAAAGGGCTGCTCCCCAGGCCAGCTGGACAAACGCGCTTCCGGTGGGGGCAGAGGTCATCAGCTAAGGGAGAGGAATGTTCCTGCCGTGTTCCCCAGGGTCCCAGCCCCTTGTCACCTTGGCAGCTGTTGGTGGAAGTCCTGGGTGTTCCCTCCCCGGCCCGCCTGTTCCCATCTGCTCCTTCCGCGGAGAGAGGCCTGGCTCTCGGCCCATCTCCCTGCCCCGCCTAGAGATGCCGCTAGCCCTGTGCTCGTTTTGCTCCAGTGCGGCGTGCTGCCCGGCACTGCGGCCTGAGGGAAGTGGGGGAGGACGAGGAGTGGACACTGTGCTGGACTGACTGCTCGGTCTCTCTGGAGCGCGTCATGAACATGAAGAGGTTTCAGGTAAAGACCCCTCCCTGGGCAGCCATGGCTGGGAAGAGCTCAGGCAAGAGGACAAGGTGGGGAGGAGTCAGTGGGACGCCAGGTGTTGCCATAGAGTAGCCCAGGTGAGCATCAGTTGTCTGTGGGACAGTCCCCACTGCCTGGCCATGGTGTGCCAGGGGCACCCTGAGCTTTGCACTGGGGGTACCCAGAAAGGTGCTCTCAGCGCCAGGTTGACGGACAGCTGGAGAGTTGCCCCCTGCTCCCCTCCCCCCTGCCACTGCTGAGTCCTTGTCCAGCCCATTGGCCCTCCAGAGGGCAGCTCTTGGGGAGGGGAGTCGCAGGTCTGAGCTAGGAGGAGCGAGCGTCTGTGCTGATGGGCTCAGGAGTGCCCCGCAGGCGGGACAGCTGCCTCCCTGGCCTGGCCACCTGCTGCTTCCCCTTTGCTCCCAAGGGCTGTCGCTCCCGCTCCTGTGGCTGACTTGTCCTTTCTGCTGCACGTCTTCCAGAAAATCAACCATTTCCCGGGTATGATGGAGATCTGCCGGAAGGACCTGCTGGCCCGCAACCTCAACCGCATGCTCAAACTCTTCCCCAAGGAGTACAACATCTTCCCCCGCACCTGGTGCCTGCCTGCTGAGTGAGTGCCCGCTCTGCCAGCCAGACACTGGCTCTGAGAGTGGGACCGCTTTCTGGGGATCTGCTGCCGACCCTGGGCCCCGACACGGGCTTTCCTTGTGTAGCCCCTTTTTCCTCCCCAGGTTACTCGGGAGCAGGTCACACTCACAGGCGTGCCTGGGTGCCTGATGTTTTAACAGCAAAGGAGCTCCCAAGTGCTCCATGGGTGATGTTGTTTAGTTGGGGATTCCCTCTCCACCCCCTTGCTCCTAAAGAATATACAATGGCCCTGCCTCCACTTGGCTGGCCCTGTGCACACTTCCTGGCGTGCCTTGGGAGCCTCCAGGAATACCGTTATTCCAACAGTAATTTGGATCTAACTCCAAGACAACAATTATGAATAATACACATCTCATTGATGCAATTAGAATCAACACACCTTTACTTAACAACTTAAAGAAATTAAGGGTGTTGAAATGTGGTTAATTGACTAGTCGACAGGCACTTCCGCATTCCTCCTTTGAAATGTACAAGAGCCCCTCCAGGGCCAGTGGGAAGTCCTGCTGCCTCCGGGCTGCACACGGATCCCCAGCAGGAGCTCTTGTGCATTTCAAATCCATGGAGCCTGGGGTCAGCTGGGGAGTTCCCAGCTGACCCTGGGTTCTGCGCAGCACTTCCCAGCTCGGCTGCAATTCACCTATGCAGCAGGCTGCCCCTTTAAAACGCTGCCACTGTGGTGATTCAAAGGGGAAGCCATGAGTCAGCTGGAGAGCTGGGGGATCAGCTGAGGAGTCCCCAATTGACTCTGGGCTCCCCACAGCTGGGAATCCCCAGCTGATCCTGTGTTCCAGGGAAGTGCCGCATGGAACCCGGGGTCAGCTGGGACTTGTTAGCGAATCCCGGGCTCCATGACTGCCCCTTTGGAAAGCTGCCTTGGGGTTTCAAAGTGGCAGTGTGTGCGGGGGATATCGACTAGTCAAAATACTATCCGATAAGCAAATGCTTATCGGACAGTTGACTGATCGACTAGTCTTTTACATCCTTAGTCCATATGATGATGTGATTGATGTAGCATAAGTAAAGTAAAGGTGTTAGGGGTCGAGAGCTGAGGAAACCTTGTTCAATGTCAGCCATAAAGATGTTGGCATATTGTGGTGCCATGTGGGTGCCCATGGCTGTGCCACTGACTCGCCGCCCGCACCAGCCTCCCCTTCCCCCGCGATCCCAAAGCCACGTCCTCAGGGACATGGTGCCGTGGGGAAGGGAGGGGCGAGGCGACGGTGGGAAGGGTGGAAAGGTTTCCCCATCTCGCTGGGTGTCCCAGGCCAGACGGCACAATCGCCCCAGCTGGGGCTGGCCTGCGATCTCCAGCCTTCCACAAACTTTGGGCAGGGACACCACTCCTACCCTCTGGCTAATAGGACTCCATGGACCCAACCTCCATGACTTGATCTCACTTCCCTTTAAACTCTGTTCTAGTTGTAGCCTTCACAGCCTCCTGCAGCAAGGAGTTCCACAGGTTAACTATTTGCTTTGTCAAGAACAACTTTCTCTTACTAGTTTCAAGCCTGCTACCCATTCCTTTCCTTTGGTGTCCTCTAGTCCTTCTTTATGGGAACTCATGAAGAACTTTTCTGAATGCACCCTCTCCACCCAACCCCTGCTTTTAGAGACCTCTATCCTGTCCCCCCTCCGTCTCCTCTTTTCTAAGCTGAACAGTCCCAGTCTCTGTAGCCTCTCTTCATCTGGGACCTGTTCCCAACCCCTGATCATGTTAGTTGCCCTCCCCTCTCCCAGCCTTTCTCTTCCCCTCTCCCACCTCCTTTTCCCAGTCTCCCCCAGTTTTTTTCAATAAAGACAGAGTCAATGTTGGAAGAAACGTTATCTTTATTTTGTACATCAATAAGAAGGGGGGCTAGGGAAGGGTAAGTGGAAGGAGGTGAGGGAGGAATGGGGTATGAGCCCCCGATGGGGAGGACTGGGCTGGCTCTGCGGGCTTCTGGGGGTGGAAGCTCTCCTGCAGCCCCCCAATTACTCCCTCTCCCCAGATGGCAGCCTGCGGCAAGTGCAGCCGGGCTGATGGCCGAGTGGTGTGATGTGCCCAGTGTGGGCACTCAGGGCACTCCAAGCCAGAACTTCTTTGCAAGCGGGGCACCCCTTAGAACTGTGTGTCCGGGGTGGGGGTCGGGACCCTTTAAGCGCAGCCCTCGGCTAGCCTGAGACAGCATCTCCATGCTCTAAGTCCTCCTTTTATGCCCTGCCGGCACTGCTTCCGGCCATCCTTAAGCCCTGTTCAGAGTCCACTCAATGTGGACTTGCTAGTTCGAATTAGCAAAACACTAATTCGAACTAGTTTTTAGTTCTAGACGCGTTAGTTCGAATTAGCTTAGTTCGAATTAACTAATTCGAACTAAGTTAGTTCGAACTAGCACTGTAGTGTAGACGTACCCTGAGGGTGTTAAAATTGACTAGTCGACAGGCACTTCCGCAGTCCCCCTTTGAAATGTACAAGAGCCCCTCCTGCGAGTCTGAGAGAAGCCAAGTGCTTTCTGTTTAAGACAGGGAAAGCTGTCATGTTCTGTTGTCTCCACTCCCCTCTCCCTGTGTGTGAGAGAGGCAGAGAGACAGAAAGCAGGAACACTGAAATCTTAGAAACAGTGCACTGTCTTTTAAGACGGGCATTTCTCTGAATCATAGGGATGTCATTGACTAGTCGAATTAATGCTTTTTGGATAGTGGACACATTAGTCCACTAGTCGCTTTCCCCCTCTTGCTGCCTCTATCAGAAAGAGGCAGCAAGGGAGAGAGAAAAAAAGATGGGGGGTGTTTCAAAGTGGCAGCGCTGTGTGGGGCTGCCACTTTGAAGTTCCCCTTCCCCTCCCTCCTTTGCTGCCTCTGTCTCATAGAGGGAGCAAGGGAGGGGATATCGACTAGTCAACTAGTCAAAAGACTATCGGATAAGCAAATGCTTATCGGCTAGTCCACTAGTCGCCTAGTCTTTAACATCCTTAAAAGAAACAGGGTTGAACAGATTCAAAGTGAATAAAATCAATTAACAAAGGACACAGAAAGAAAGGGAACTTATCTCTCTGGCATTCGCCGCTTACCCCACCCCCGAGTGTGCACTCCTTTGGAGTCAGAGTCCCACACACTTGCTGGCGTGGGCACGCTTGAAGGTCTGCAGCTGGAGTGGAGACAGCGCTGTGCAGGTTGTGAGTGTGAGTGTGAGTGTGAGTCCAATCTGATCAGCCAGCTGCAATATCCCTCTACCACCAGAGATGGCCCCACCAAATGCCAGCAACTCTGGTTCACTGGGCTGGTTACTCTCTCTCTCTCTTTGGACCCGGAGTCAGTCTAATTTCTGTGCTCTATCCCAAGCAGCACTTTCCCAAAAGAGCCCAGTTTCTTACAGTTACCTCCTATGTAGGTTTATGCAGGCCCTTCTCAGCCACAGGCACAGCCAAAGTCTCTGCCTCTCGGGACAATCAACAGCCCCTGAATCAGCCTAGATCCAAGCCCCAGCAGGCTCTCAGTAACAGGCTCTAGCTGCAATATAATAGCTCCTGGCCTGGAAAAGGCATGCCACTAGTAGCCTGGCTCCTCTCTCCAAATGAAAAACTACTAACTCTCTCTCTCCAGGCCTGGAAGAGCCACCTTCTCTCCTTTTCCCCAAGGGCTCATGGGAGTTGTAGTCTCCAAGGCTAGATTGCAGCACAAAGGATCCTCGCAGTAAAAGTCAGAGGTCCTTTAGTAAGGGGACTACACAATTAACTCCATCAAAATCTAGGATTTATTCCAAAGTGTTTGTTGCACTTTACTTCTAAAAATTTAAATGAACCTAAAGAAAGTTTTCAAAGTAAAATGCTGTTATTTATTGATTTTGTTAGAGTGGGAAAAGATCCTGCTGCCCATTTCATTCTCTCTCTCTCTAGTACCAATGAAGAATATTAAAAATATTGACAGAGTAATCCTCAAAAAATGGTTAAAAATCTAGACAAGATGTCCACCAAAACTGAACGCCACTAGCAAACACATGCATTGATCAAAGTTAAAAGTTATGGTGTCTGAGTATACTAGATTTTTTAAGAGTAAATTAAAATGAAAAAAAAAATTTGTCTTGCATATATCTACAATTCTAAGAGAAAAAAGCAACAGCACTGTTTTACTTAGTAAGGCACCCAACTTATCTCAAAAGTGCACTATAAATATATTTTTGTAGCAACAGAAAATTACTATATGAAGTGCTACAGTAATATTTGTTTTAAATGGAAACTGGGCCTCATCACATTATTTCAAGTAAACATTTGGCCCAATATAAAATTGCATCTAAAGACAAAGGGTAGAAAAATTACACACACACACACACACACACACACACACACACACACACACACACACTATAATTGTATGATAATACAGTTAATATTTTTTTAAATGATCAACCCGTTTGGGGGTTCTCTCCCTTCTTGCTTTCTGGTAAAAATCTTATTGAGCTGAAATTATTATAAGTCTAGCAGGGGAAAAGAGTACCCAGCAAAAATAAATAAATATGTTACTTATGGAGATAATCTTCTTGGATTACTTGCATTTGAATAAAAATGAAGAATGAGGCATTTTGAAGAATGAGGCAACCATCACATTTTTTTAAAGCAGAACTGCTGATTAGTTTTTTAGGTCCAAAATAAAGAGATTGGATACAGCAAGTTATTAGAAGCGAGTATTTTCTACTGCTTTCCTCTAGTATAGGTTTACATGTCACATTACAAGACTTGCACATATCCCTTGGGAGATATTCCACAGACTAATACATCACAGCATTGGCATGTTTTTCCTGACATTCAGGCTAAATTTACCTCTTTTTAACTTGATCTTATTTCTTCTGTCATCCTAACTTCCTCTCAACAGAAGTTGGTCCAATAAAACATATTACCTCACTCACCTTGCTCCTTTGATTCACACTTACAGATTTAGAGGCTGATTTTTTAAGGCAGGGCTACTCAACTTTGGAAGTCCCAGGGGCCACAATGATACTAAAAGGATATGCCGAGGGCCACAACATAAAAGGTTGCATATACATGCAAATATATATGCAAATATATGCAAATAGCTTCTTTCACACTGATGGGCATGAATACAAAGATTAAGGCAAGACTACACAACACACAGGCCCCATTTAAGTCAGTTCTCCGGATAGGGATAAAATGCAATATTTTACCTGATTTCTACCCATATGACAGCACTTTTAATGAGTAATAACAGTCCAGGAATTTACCTACTAAAATTCATATCAACAGAAGGCCATTATATTGACTACTTTTTATTTTGGCTCCCACCCACAGGCTGCATGTTAAGTAGCCCTGTTTTAAGGTGTAAGGTGCAGATAGGTGCCTAAAGAGATTATTAAAAGCACACTAATACGTTAGATGCCTAGGTGCTTCTGCAAATATGCCCCGTAG